TTTTAAACCGATGGAAAGTTCCATGTAAAAGAACACGGGAATAACATCTATTACAAACTGATTAGTCCTATCTTTGGTTTTGCAGTACGGCAAGGCGTGATATTCGCTCCCGAATCATGCATGTGTGTTCTCTTTTATTTACCCTCCACGCTGGTCTGATTTTCCTTGGACTGCAAACCAATCAGATTTTAGCGCAATCTCCGGAGAGCGAATCGGAGTCTTTAACATCAATCGCTTTCAACGCATGTCGAAGCATAGTCGACGAATCGAAACAAGAATTATTTTACATTTACGAGGACGGTTTGCATTTCGAACCCTCTTTCGAGCACTTTAATCAACGCTTGCATGAAGCTTCCATTAAAACCGTTTTGATATCCCACCACAGTCACTTGACAAACGCTGTCAATACCGATCATGGCAAGAATATCATATTCCTCCTCAAAGATATGAGAGAGCTGATGAGCTTAATTTTTTACACAATCTCATACCCAAAACTCTCAGACGTAAACGGCGGAAACACGATAAATCGCGAAGACGATAAAACCAGAAAAGAACATCAGTCGAAGGTTATTTTACCTCCGTATTGCGTGACAGTAGATGGACGTTCTCTTTGGACGCAAGGGGAAGAAACATGCAGTAAAAAGTTGAGACTATCATCAACCGAATTGGAGCCAAACTCGATTCTGAGCGATCGAGTATTTAATGCAACACGAGGTTTGTACATCAATAAAATTTGGAATTCTAAGAATTATCTGATTTTCATCTTAAAAGATTATGACAGGATTTACAGCCACCCGACTTATACAAAACTATTAAAAACAGGAAATTCCGGAATGGAGAATGGACTGGAAAAGTACACCGTGGATACAGACCCGGTCGCCAGCCTGCTGTTCTGTTTCAAATTCTTTTGGCGCTTCTTCAGAGGAATAAGATCAGTCATTTGTCACTCGCATGGGTGTGAAAGATATAATCCCTTCATGGAAAAACTCGTCTCAAGTGAGGGTGAGGCCAATCAAAATTTCTTCGTCTTCTCTTGGAGCGATATGCAGAGAAAATCAATCAGCAAATTCTACACCGCAGTATCCACTCATAAATATAGGTTTGTGTCCTCATCCTCAACCGTTTGGGAACAATTGTACGAGGCAGTATTGAATGACTTCGAACGTGCTGTAAACTGCACATTGCGGTACCAGCGTACGAACTACATGGCAGATCAATTCAATAGTTACGGTACTGAAGCAGGCTTGAAATTCGACATAGACTTGCAGCCGTTTGAGTATGGATTAAATTTAGAAGGAACAAATTACTCCAGGTATGATTTTTCAGTCAGCGTTGATACGAGATCTCTGTGCTTTGCAACTCCACATAGTGGTTTTATGTCACAAGGTCTGGTGATTTTCAAAAGCTTTTCGCCACTCGTATGGACACTCATTGTTATCACGATTGTTTGTTTCTGGATAATTCTCGGCATTTTCCATTATTTACAATGCAAAGTTTTCTACTTCTTCTACCCAGACGCAGAAAGTGAATTTTACAGGAACTCATCTCCTCTCTTCACGGTTTACGCGTACTTCATGTGTGGTAGCCCAGGAAACCTACGCTTGGGCCATCTTTTGACTGGAAAAGTCCTCTTCTTGATTTTCAGTTTTTCTGCAATCATCATAACGAATGCATTTTTGGGTTGTATGACAACGCTTCTTAGCAAGAGAGTTCAGTATCCGGAAATTGATTCATTGAAAGCCTTGGAGGAATCAGAACTTTTCATTCAAATACTCTCCAGTGATGTTGAATTGGAACAGGAAATGTTTTATCAGCAAAACCAATCTAAGGTGCTAAGTGCCAAATTGCTGATTAATTTATACGATTACTGTTATGCCGAATTCGGAGAATGGTTTACGAATTATCTTGGTATCTCTGAAGATGATGAGTCATCCGCAGATTCTAATTTTATTAAAAATCGCATGGTGGAGATTAGAAAGAATATCCTTTCGATGGCTGCGATGGATGCTGTGATGATCAGTGTACCATTCTCTTCCATCCGTAAAGAGAATGTTCTGATGAGGCATGGATTTCAAGTTGAAACTGAGTATCATCTAATGAAAGAGTGCCTAGTTACGTATCCGCTAATGTTTCCTTTCTTGAAGAATTCTTTTCTGTATGATAAATTGAATAGAATAATTAATCAAAATCTAGAAACCGGGCACACGAGAAGAATGATGGAGAAATATGATGCCTGGGCAATGAGATTTCCATCGGAGGGAAGGGATGCCGAAGATGCTGAGCCAAAGCCATACGATCTAAACGATTTGCAGTCAGCTTTCATAGGACTCATCGTAGGTTTATTTGTGAGTTTCCTCACTTTTGTAGGAGAACTGTTAGTTAATTTGTATCCAGACTCAGGTGTCATCAAAATTTTGAAGACTTTGAAAGTTTTCTGTTCGCGCAAGTTGAAAATGGTCAAAGTGCTACCGAAGTTATAATCATCAATGTGAAAGATAAAAATAGGTTTTACTTTTGTAATTCACCGATTCCAGTTTCGTTTAGAATGAATTTACTCCGGAATTCATTCTCAACGAAACTGCAGGCCGATTATTGAAATGTATAGACATAGCTATAGACCAAGAAGACCAGAGATACGGAGGGATCTTATTCGTTGAAGCGGGTGGTTGCGATGGACAAAGGAGGTAGGTAATAGACAAACTAACGGCAACCCTCGATGGACCCTCTAGTTAGTCCATCATTTTCTTCCTTCACTCCATATATAGAAACCACCCTCTTTAACCAATAGGATGGCTCCATACTCCCTATGTCTTCTTTATCTATTGCTTTTTATATCAATTTCAATAATCAGCCCGCTGGAATCGGGCACCGAATTCACATTTGGTTTCAATTTAAACAGACAGTGTCTGTTATTGTGCCTGATTTTCGTGATTATACCTTTACGAATAGTTGCAGGGAAAAGTATTGTAAACATGTGAGAACGTCGAACGCTTGGATTAGAATTCAAGACTTACAAAGCAACAACATTCTGTGAGAAATTCATGGGAAAAGTCTGTAAATTTTCTAATATCGGAAGCAAAAGAATTTTTATTTAAAAAAAAAAATAAAAAAACAAATCACTTAAATTTAATTTTGTCCCCAGTATTCCGCTTCGTTCATCATCATTTACCAGATTGACTGAATTAATTGAACCAAAGCGATGTAAAATTGAATTACTTAATTACCTAAAGCATTTTCGACCTGCAAACCTTTAAGCAATAAAGAAATTCCACTTTACATAGCTTGGCTTAATCAATTCAGTCAATAAATTTTGGCGATATTTGACATCATCTCACGAAATAATTCCTAAGAGCTCAGGGTCTTTTTGGAAAAGGCACAATTAAAAGGGCATCTGGTTCCATTTTAATTACTAGGACTCAATTTTAGAGGTATTTGTACATGGTTATTAATCACAATAAATTTGTTGTATTCACATGCATGTGATCCATATGGATAATTCACTTTCTACCTATCTTGGTTCACTGGAAAAAAACACAGTGGATCAACAGTCCAGACTCTTAAAAACATCGACAAGAAAAAGTATTCTTGATTCAATCAGAATTTAGCTTAAATCAAGAACCAAGCCTCTTAATTTAAGCGGATTTCGTTTTGATTCAAGCAAAACTTCGATTGAATCAAGATTATTTTTTCTTGTCAATGTTTTCAAGAGTCTGGACTCTAGAGCCAATGTGTTTTTGTTTCCAGTGTTCCGTTGCATATTTCCCAACTGGATGTAATTCTGCTAAACGAAACTATATGCGTTATGACGTGAGTCCTGTTATGCATATATTCTTATGGGCCTCAGGGCCCATGTCTTCATGCGCATAGTTCCGTATTTCCTTATAATCGTCCGTTTCCTTAGTGGCTCAGCAGCAGCATTTGGCAAAGTTTAACTTCAGCATTTTGTAATTTGATTTGATATACAAATACTTCAACATTTCGAGAAAAAAATCAAAACATTTCTCAGAATTTTGTCACACGTTACAAACATTTTGAACTGTCATAAAGCTGAGTGTAACGGCTCCGGACTTACGAGAATAATTGTCACAAAAATTACGCCGTATTAATCCTTTGTCTCTTACGCACGCAAATTCTCGTCTAAACATGTTCATTTCGTCCTTTTCCATACTTTCATACATTTTCCTTTTCATACACTCTAGTAGAATCTCCGATAATGTCTCATTATTATCGTGCTGAATGTCTCCGATAAAATTAACTTTAACCAAATTTGAAAGTTTAAGAAATAAAGAAACTTAATTGACTTACTTTCTTTGTTTTTCGCCCGATGAATATTTCGGTTGTCACTATTTAAACATGTTGTTTAAATAGTTTTAAATAGTGACAATCGAAATATTCATCGGGCGAAAAAGAAAGAAAGTAAGTCAATCACATAGTTCCCGATAAAGAAAACAAAGGAGTAGTAAAGAAACTTAAGATACGAAAATAAGGAGACTGACATGTTCTTTCAACACCCATGTGTTGATTTTTTTCGGATTTATTTATAATGTTTGATATAAACACGAAATTTATTGTATCTAGAATGATTAAGAACTTCATCAGCCGAAAATTACAGTAAGCAGCAACCTACTAGGGGGGAAAACTGCAAAACCCCTTTTTTTCATTTTTCTTCGATTCTTCCCCCGATTGAAAATGACATCGACACATTTCAAAACGTCCCGGTTTTCACTTTAATTTTCGTATTTAGTGTTTTGCAGTCATTCCACAGGCGCTGTTAAATTATTTATTGTTTCTCTAATTTGCTCTTTGTTTCGTGCATACTTATTTTTGAAAATCATGTGGTTTAGTTTGCCAATATATTCCTGTCGTCATCCTTACTCCAAGAATATTCATGGGTTGTCATATAAATGCAATGATCAGAACATTCGAATTAAAATTTTGTGATAGATTTGTTAAGTGTATAAGTTATATATATTTGATAGAATCACACGCATTAATAGACTTTATCGTTGAAGAGGTGTATTTTTATTGAATGATCTCCAAAAGTTTGCCCTCTCCTTTAAAAGATCTTCTTCTTGAATAAATCCTTCAGCAGAGATGTGTAAACTCTTAAGGCTGTTGCTCCCTCTTTTATATGGCTCCCACTCATTTGGTGTGAAATTTCTGAAAAAGTCACAAATGTAAAACAAACTTCAAATGTTGGAAACACATTTAAAATTTTCCACAGTTATCAACGATTTTTTATCAATCAACTGCTCCAAATTGGACTGCATTTTGCAATTTGGAATTATAAATTCGGCTCATCTGAAAAAACACTTATGTGAATGAGGAAACTAATAGCACATACGTTGTTTTTAAACCGGACTAGAATTCATAGTTCCAAATTGCAAAATTTAGTCCAATTATAGCTCCATTTTCAGACTGATTAATAAGTTGTACGACTAGATTCATGCGGTTAAAGTGACGGCCGAATCAATTAAAAAGGGGTTGAATAGAGCAGCTTTACTCACGAGGTTATCGATCCGTCATCGGCATTCTTATGCAGATAAAAGTTTTTTCATCACTGATTGTAAGAAATAAAGCTAATTCTTGTTGGTGCAATAACGATCTACATATCGACGGCGTAAGTCAGCAATCATGTATCTCGTTTGTGGTATCTAAAAACCTTCGGCCTCTATGTTTTTTTTTAAAGGAGAAGTGACGTCATTCCTTGAAATTTTGGCAGCATTTTCTTCGCACAGAGGAGAAAAATCACGGAAGTTTTAAAGACTTGCCGTTGAGTTGTTTTCCGTTTAAAAAATTAAGTATGACAGCAAGTCTGCAACGCCGCAAACCGAGTTATGTGATATCCGACTTACACCGTCGATATGTATGTATGATTGTCAAAAAAGGGACGTCTTAATTAGCGCTTAAAGTAATACATAACAGCAATACTTTCTGCCTCATCTTTTCGGATTGCACTCAACAAGTACGGTGTTCCAACAGTATTTTTCGGCTCTAAATTCTGTATCCTTCCCGTAAAAGCAGCGCATAATTTAATTGACATCAAACGCTCCTCACAACCAAGGAGTAAAACGAATCCTATACACAAGTAGCACAGATTGGAATAAAGTGCAATTACATGGTAAAATTAGGTACTGCTACTGCAACGGCCTGTTATGTATGTTGCCTGTCTACCTATTGAAGGCGCGTGGTCCATTGAAAAAAATTGAAGCAGTTTTTTGTTGCACGGCATATTGCCTATCTTTCTAACAAATAGAACTCACTTTGTTGGCTCCTTAAAATGGGCCTGTTGCAAACTTTTGCTAGAGCAAAACTAAGAGTTGTTTCTTATAGATAATGCCTCAAAAATCACGATGAGCGCATCGGCAAACTCTGAAATGCACTCATAACTTCACAAACTGCGTAAGAAATTTGCGGTTTTTTGAGCTTCCCGCTTCAAAAACGATACTACGGCACAGGTGAACATTTTGTAAGAGGAGTCGTTCCATTGTCGGCAATAATCATCATAGCCGACGCCAATCCGCCAAAACACGTTTGATGGGACGAGATAACACCTGAACTGGATTAGACCAGATAACAATCGGTGTGTTAACGTTCATATTTTCCACGCCCGAATTGATTGACCTTGAACTCTCCTTGAATTACGCGCGGAACTGCGCGCAAGCGTCGGCCATGATGAATATCGCCGACGATGGAGCGACTCCGATAACAAAATGTTCACCTATGCCGTAGTATCGTTTTTGAAGCGGGAAGCTTAAAAAAACGCAAATTTCTTACGCAGATTGTGAAGTTATGAGTGCATTTCAGACTTTGCCAATGCGCTCATCGTGATTTTTGAGGCATTATCTATAAGAAACAACTCTTATTTTTGCTCTAGCAAAAGTTTGCAACAGGCCCATTGGCATTTCTTGACCATGTGATGGTAAATATTGCAATTTTATGATAAACAAAAATCAATTTTTTTGCAATAAATAGCAATTTTATTTAAATTTTTTTATTGCACCGTGCTTCATGGGTATTAATACTCACCCGTATTTGGCAAATCGTGTCCATAGACTGACCATCTTTTTAGAAAGTCGCGTATCCAGCGGAGATAGGTGTCTTTTGGGAAATGTTTCAGTGCTCGGAAAAAGACTCAGTAGATTATCCAAATGACCTGCACCTATCCCTGCAAAACAAAACAGTTAATGAAATGAACAAATAAATGTATAAATGTACGTATATGGTTCAGTTAAGTCCTTGAACGCGAGAAAAGATGCCTACAATATATTTCTTTGTTAATAAATATTTCTTTGTCAATCCTGCTGGGTTTGATTTATTCATTTTTCAAGAGTGTCTTAATCTGATCAATTTTGCAATTCTTCTGAATTTGCACATGATGTAAAAAATCGACTTAAAAGAGAGAGAAAATACTAATTGAAACAAGCAAGGAATTCCAACACCTAGTGTGGGTGCGTATGGAGTCTCCTTCATTTTTGACTTAGTGATACTTTAGGGTAAAAATAAGCAGACATGTCGTAGCATTTACCATACTTTCGGTGAATGCGATAGAATTACGGCATTTGTTACCAGAGTATGTTGATGATTACCAGACTCTTATCACTGTACCTCGAACCATACTTTTTTCAGCATTCAGCATGCAAAATTGTACGCCTTGAATAATGTCGAATTATTTGACGGATTTTTGCAAATATCAGATAATTTAAGTTTTTAGCTTAAGGGCTTAAAGTTGTTGAAGCATAAGAACTAACCATCACCAACGCCATAGCCTATCAGCGATTTGTAAGTAGTCTTGTCCGATTGTTCGTAATCATAAAGGTAGACATACGTAGGTCCTGCTTGAAGAGGCACAGCATCAGTGATACCTTTTAAAATAAAGTCGGCCTCCTGTGGTGTAGTGGTTGTAGCGCTGGCCCTATGACCAAGAGGTCCCGGGTTCGATTCCCGGCCAGGTGATCTGAGTTTGATGGTCTCAGGCAATGGTCACCTGGGGCTGGGGTAATAAGCGTGGAATTAGCCGATAGGCTATTTGAAATTGGCAAAAAAAAAAAAAAAAACCAACCATCACCAATAACCTAGAAGAATAAAAAATGAAATAAATAAGCAATTCCAAGAACGCAGTTTATCACTTTCCTTGCAATGATCGCGATCTGGTGTCTTGCGGTGGACTTAATCAACTTGATTAAATCTTGAGTAAAATTCCGCCAAGAATGAAAATGTGTAGTGGTGAGGTTTATTTTATTTTGCATTTAATAAACTTAATTTATGTTTTAGTTTATGTTGAAAAGTTTTTCAAGAATCCCCCATAAAAAGACCATAAAATACAACTCTTTATTGGTAACTATATTCGTTAAGTGAGGTTAGGCTAGCTTGCCTCGTTGCTAGTTTTCCGAGCAGTCATCCGTTCGTAGTCTGAATACTCCTTCTACGTTCATCGATTGAAGATGCTCCAATGGACCACTAGACAAGGTACGAATTTAAGCGATCTGATACATGTTTCTTAACCAGAATTTCACGTAGAACACGATTCAAACTACGAAAATTACCGAAATCAACTTCTAACGAAGATATTAACGTTTTTATTTCGCACTGATTACGAGGAATTTGAACTGCCCGCTCACAAGAAACTCAAAACTCTACGTGAGTCAAATCCCGCACTACAACGGTTTCAGCGAGCTTCTCAATCGAGCAATGTTCATTTCCCATCATGTGTTGTTCAAACTATTAGCAATTTGCTATAACTGAGCCAAAGCGTCAAAATTGAGATTGCCAGATTTTTATATCGCAGAGACTGTCATGATAACGTTTAGCGCGCGATGTGAATCACGTAGAGCATTGAGTTTTCATGAGCGGGTGGTTTGAATTCACGCATTTAGAATCATTAAATATCTTCGTAAGGAGTTAATTTCGGTAATTTTCGTTGTGTGCATCGTGTTTTACGTACAATTTTGGTTAAGAAACATGTATCAGAAAGCTGAAATTCGTACCTTATCTAGTGGTCCATTGTTCCAATCTTGGAGCAAAACGTCTCAATTTTATCGTCTCTTTACCTTTGTTTCCCCCGTTTCGTGTTTCACATATGTGTAGACATAAACATGTAAGCAAGAGTTTGTAATTTCGCGCATTTTCGTAATTTATAACCCATGACCGATGCCCATCACACGAGAACGCAATGGTGTACTTTTTTTCTTAAAAGACAAAAAAATAAAAAATAAATTTTAGAAACTAGGCCTGATAACTCCTAAAAACATCATCCCGAAACTTTTAAAGAATGTCAAATACGTACCAGATCCAGTTGTTTGATATTTTTCTTATTTATTGAGTTTCCTTTTCCGAAGTAGAATTCCTTAATTTTTGTTGCTATCGCCGGAATTTTTTCGTCAGAAATGTTAAAGCCGTAAGACAGCCATTTCTTCAAAAATACATCGAATTGTTCAGTGAGATTCAAATTCTTATTTTCAACTATCTTCAAAAACTCTGAAAAAAAATAAACTGAATTTTAAAGTGAGCTTTCAGTTGGAAGAAACAAAGCCCTAAAATTTTTCAACCAGTATAACGTTAGTTTTTCTTTAAAAAGCCTCAAACCATTTTTGAAGATTATTTAAATTTCGACCGCACCCTAGAGAAGATGCCAAATTGGTAGATTAGATGATATCCAGAAGTTCTTTCACTGCCTGTATTTTATACTATCATCACTGAACTAAATCAAATTTAAAATATTCCAGAAGAAGGGGGAGCATGGAGCAACATGGATGAATATTGACTTTCTTCTGTGAGATTTGGTCAGATGTATACCACGATTTTTTTTAAAAATAAAAGTTAAAGCAGGCCAACTTTTTACAGGCTGCATCGAAACATCTTTGGATTAGAATGTCAAAATTCACCGAGCTTAAACAAGAATCGTGAAAATTTTAACCACTTAATTACACCGTGCACTTTTCCTGATTCGACGAAGAATTTCTCTGACTATGAATGCCGGAATTGCCCGACTTCTCATTAACTGGACGTATTTCTATCGAACGGACCTAAGCGCCATAGGGCGAGGAAGGTAGAGGGGGGCTTGGAGTGGCGGCGGAATCGGGCGTCCGGCTTATTCCGTCCTATACTCGCAATACTTTTCCATGGCGTTTAGGTCCGTTTGACAGAACGCGCTACCCGGGATTCTAAATTCCTCAAAAGGAACTCAAATTGGCGCTTAGTTTCGTTTGAAAGAAATACGTCCAACTATTACTTACATTTCGTGGTTTTCTCCAAAATCTCTTGGTGTACTGGCCTACATTCCTTGGCCACTCACCAACAGAGGCCGCAGAACTAGACCGAAGCCGAAATGAATACCGTCTACTTTCTTGTTATAGCGTTTAAGTCTCCGCCCAGTAAATGTGATTCATAACAAATATATAGTGTTACGTTTTCCCAGGCATCAATGCACGCATTTCCGTTCATTAAAGTTCCGAACGTTCGTTTTAATCTATCATGAGAAATATCAGTAGCTATTTCTTACTTTCTGGGTAATCAAGATGCTCAGCAGCATTTAGACCTGTTATCCAAGGTATCTCCGATTTCATATTGCGGGGAGCGGTAGTTAATAAAGCGTTCTTCGCAGTTGATTCCTCAATTATGGGAGCGAACTCTGCCAAAGGCAAGTCGAAATCATCCTGTGAAAATAGGTTTCAAAAATGATCATTAGATTGAGGCCCATATTTTCTAAACTCTACTCGTATCGTAGAATCAGCTCATTTTGTATCAAGTTTTTATTTATGGAGTGCAAGGATAGAGGTATGTCAATTGTACACACACACCGAAAAAAAAAAAAAATTAACAAGAATGCTTTCTGCAATGCACTTACGCTTTTCCGCAATGCGCTTTCTGGTGCAAGCTCCGTCAAAGTTTATCCTAAAATCATCTTATGAAAATAGGTGCCAATTTTTTTTTTTACTTAATTGCAGCCCGCATATTCTAAACTTTTACGTATAAATGGTATTGCGATTTATTCAAAACATATGAAAAGATAAGATGTATAGGAAGTTACGAAATTACCGTGAAAAGTGGGTTATGATGATAACAATTATCGGCAAACACGCCACTGTGCCACTCAACATATATATATTTTCGTCAAAATTTTACCATAAGTAGAAAAGAACCAAGCCACATCAGTTATTGCCAAATTTAATTCCCTTATTCAATTTTTTACAAGGAAATGGTTGTGCGGATTTGTGTACAAATTTTAGTGAATTATCATCAACATAGTGCGAAGCGAATTATTTAAAATTTACAAGTAGCCAGTTAAAATTGTGCAGTAGCTGATGTGGCATGGTTCCGTTCAGCTATAAATGCGGTCCATTTGTGACGCGAGCAAATTTTCATCCCCTCCGAAGAAATAAACGCGGCACCTCGGGGGGTTCCGTTAGAACCGATTCTAACGGATCACAAATTCAAGAAAACCCATGGTTTGTACGCGAATCCAATTTGGAATTCGAAAAATTAAATTACCTTATTTTCATCCTCCATCAGTTCCCGTACGCAGAAAGGTGTTTTTATTTATGAACCTGAAATGGTAGTTCCTATTGCGAAATCGACGGTGTAAGTCGGCAATCACATAACTCGCTTGCGGTGTCTGAAAACATCACGGTAGTTTTAAAGAATTGCCTTTGAGTAGTTTTCCGTTTAAAAAATAAAGTATGACAGGAAGTATGCGAGACGTCGCAAATGGAGTTATGTGATTGCCGACTTGCACCATCGAAATGCCAGTCCTATTAGCAATGCAGATATTTGGTCTTTTGCATCGCATATCCCTTCAATGGTTTCTTAAGTATCCCTAAAGATCCGTGTGGGCCAATTTCAATGAGATTCCGTCTGCTGTCCTTGATTTCCGTGTTCAACGATGCGAGTGAACATGTCCACATTCATGAATGTCAGTTTAAGACTGGTGAAAACCCAAGATTGTCCTTCATTTTCGCGTGATACCACAACACATACCTTCTCTATAGCCCGAATAAACAGCGCGCTTGATTTTTCCATTTAACAAGGCTGCTTACATTCATTAACGTCAGTAATTGAATCGTTTTTCGGTAAAAGGACGTATGCGATTTTCAATGCTGCTACGATTGTGCGACGTGGTTCTCTCGTTGTAACTCATCCGACAGTTTTGCTAGGAATTTTTTCCCGAATCTGCTCCAAGTTTTTCCACACCATTGTAAGGAAATGAGTTGACTGTTGATGAATTTCATCTGCCGCAACCGCTAAAAAAATTGCACAATTGTAGCAGCATTGCAAGCCTCATGCGCCCTCTTACCGAAAAAGTCCTCAGGTTAAAACAGGCGAGGGTATGATTTTCCTTCAATTTCGCGTGATACCACATTACATACTTACTACGGCGTTCGTACATTTGTGCGCTTGATCGCCGCACGTAATAAACATCACTTGATCTTAGCCCCAGAAAAAAGGACCGTGGCTCACAAAATTCGAAAATTAATATGCATGCTGATATCGGATCATTAAAATCTTAATCGCTTTTTTCCCCAGTTGAGAACGGGCATGTAATTGGCTTAAAACGTCCTAGTTGTTTTTATTCTGGTTTTTTTTTCTTTCTTTTTTTTCCTCCTTGTGTACCCATTTGTTTTTTATTTATTGTATTTTATATCGTGCATGACATAGTAGATATCTTAACTTTTTAACGAGAGCTTCATTTATAATGTGTCCTTATATATGGAAATGTATCATTTAATGTGATGCCGAGAAATATTAGGATTTAAAATCGAATAAATTTCGTTTTTTGTGGATCACTGGCTAGATTTCGTTATTTAAGCAGTAGAAAGTTTTAAAACGGTCCATTAAATGCTATAAATTTCAACTCGTAATTTTCATGTACATTTTAAAAGCATTAACCGTCGAAATTCAATGAAGGATTTTTAAATTCAAATTGACTATGAGAGAGGATACGCGACTGTCAGTCTGTTCTGCCCTGCTAAGGTAGAACGTCATATGAATGTTCGAGAGTTGTCAAATTTCCTTCGATAAAATGGTTATTTTTGAGGAAAGTTATTGATATATTTCCGAAAAATTTTCAAGATTTTTAGGTAAAATTGCAAATAATATTATCTGAAAAGTTGGAAGAAAAATATTTATAAATTTTCCCGAAAAATCGTGATCACGAAAATTTTGCAACACCTGAAGGCTCACGCGGCGTTTTTCCTTAGCACGGCAGTGTTGGCGACAGTGATATTACTGAATAGTAATCAGAACCTCGTATGAGACATCACGGACCACGAACATAACTTCTTCAAGCACACTGGAAAAGAAAAACACATTGGATCTAGAGTCCAGACTCTTGAAAACATTGACAAGAAAAAATACTCTTGATTCAATCAGATTTAAGCTTAAATCAAAAGAAAATCCACTCAAATTTAGAGGCTTGGTTCTTGATTTAAGCTTAAATCTCATTGAATCAAGAGTGTTTTTTCTTGTCGATGTTTTTGAGAGTCTGGACTCTAGATCCAATGTGTTTTTTTTTTCCAGTATGCATAGTTTTTTCTGAGTGAGTCGGGCTGCCTAGGAGCCATGGGGCGTAACCCCTAGCTCTCTATCAGGAAACGCCGGGAATTAGCGGTGTACCTGACCTTGACACTGATTAATGATCTTACCGCCTGACCTATCCCAAACGCGACGAGGGGAGTGTCCTCTTCGCGCTGCCTGAAGGCCACCTGTGATTGGCCCGTTCCTGCGTCCTGAATGCAAAAGACGCATGCGATTGGGCGTCGACTTTCCGTTGGTGAACGCCTTTGAGCCGTCAGATCTTCCCTCGGCTTCCGAGTTCTGGCTCCTGCATCTTCTTCACTGCCGTTTTTAAATTGCGAAACAACGTGTACAGTGGCGTGGCGTGCTTTGCGATACATCGATTGATTTGTCATTTAAACCTACGGAAAAGGATCGATAAACTGAGTGTTCGCAACGAACACCTTAGTAATTGACTCTTTACCACATGCAGCTTTACATTGGGAGATGTCGATATCATTCACGCCTCGCCATTGAACGTCTGCATTGCGATGTTTCAAAATGTCCGCGCCTATTTAATTTTTTTCACGGAGAAAGAAGTCAACTTTACACACACCTTACAGAATGCTCTGCTTGAGGAGAAGAAAAATCATAAAACTTTTCAAGAAATTACGTCGACTAGTTTTCCAAGGAAATTATGAAGTATGACAATAATCTTGCAACGTCGCAACAAAGATATGTTGCTTCGCACTTATGCCATTATTATGTAACCATGTACAGTCAACGGACAGACTTTGAGCAATTTTGGTATGCTACATCATAATGCTTAAAATGGACCGCGTTAAGCAGAAAAGGAACCATTTCACATAAGTTTTTGCTTTTAACTGGGTACTTTAATTTTTAACATGAAAACGGTTGTGCATGTGCAGAGTCTTGTGGAAACTTTAGAGAAATATCCCACACAATTTTCAAAGGAATCCAAACAAACGTTCTCTTGTAAAAAATTAAATTATCCTCTTAAATTTGGTAACAGCTGCTGTAGCTTGGTTACTTTCTGCAAAACACGGTCCAATCTCGAAAAAGAAAGATCATGAGTCAAATTTGGAAGTTTTTTTATCAAATTCTTGAATGATTTTTGCGAATTGCATATAATGCAGTCCCTGAAATGGACGTATTTCTATCAAACGGAACTAAGCGCCAATTTGAGTTCCTTTTGATGAATTTAGAATCGCGGATAGCGCGTTCTGTCAAACGTACCTAAGCGATTCCGCCGCCAATCCAAGCCCCCCTCTACCATCCTCACCCTATGGCGCTTAGGTCCGTTTGATAGAAATACGTCCAAATATCGTTGAAATTCCACAGTAGGTGAAGTATCACTTTTTAGTCAAATGAAAAATCTATGGAATAATTAATTTTATTTACATCTGTGACCCTACGTGCTTTGAATATTCTATATGGAGAAGCGGCAACGTTGCCCGTAATTGCACTCGACATTCGGCGAAACTGAGGCACTGGGCCATTGCAGGTTGCACTCACCAGTTGACGGTCTTAATTAGTCGTTTATTGGCCGCCAAGCGAATGCGCTCCGTTTCATCAACAACTGTCTCGTCTGGAAATTGGCCAAACCATCGGTACCGGAAACCGGAAGCAGGCGAATTACTCTCTCTCCAATCGCAAATATCCCGGGAAAGTTCATTTTTACAGGGTGCTCGACTGCTCGCATAAATTCGGACCGGCGCCCAGTGGATCGAGTCAATCACAGATGTCGGACATGAGACATTTTTAACTAAGACTGCAAATTTTGATGTTTAAATCGTCACATTTTAAATTTTAAGGGGTACTTTTGAAAGACAATGGAGATGTTGCATATGTGGGGAATTTGCGATTTGACTGCTGATTCTTATGTAAAAGTTTGCGAGAAACACGATGGTGCCACTGGTTTTTTCTGAAATTAACACCCAAGCTCAAAAAAAGCTCTCAAGTTGCGGCCAAAATGGAGGGGATATTCCACCCTACCCTGAGAGTCCACCTCTACATCAAGACAGACTCTCCATGCAAAGATAGGGAGCAAATACATTAGCAGGGTTGCCGTGTTTTCAGTTTTGGAGTCCTCAAATAAAATGGCAGCCCTGTAATTGTATTTGCTCCCTATCTTTGCATGGAGAGTTTTTCTTGATGAAGAGGTGGCCTCTCAGGATAGAGGGATATCCCTTTCATTTTGGCCTCAACTTGAGAGCTTTTTTTGAGCTTGGGAGTTGATTTCAGAGAAAACTAGAGGCACCATCGTGTTTCTCGAGAACTTTTACATAAGAATCAACAGTCAAATCGCAAATTCCTCACACATGCAACATCTCCATTGTACGAGGAAATCTATGGAACCACTTTCCGGACCTCAAAGTTTTGCATGAACGGAGTTACAAGTTTTTGAAGTTTCCAAATTTTATCCGACCTCTCCCATTGACTTGATCCATTGTGCGGGAAAATATTTTCGGTTTTACTGGGGAGTTGGGGAGAGAGGAATGAGAGATCGATAGGGGCATTTTGATAAAATCTAAAAATGAATGAGAGGCGTGCTTTGGCACCTCGGGCCTTGTGTTCGACAAAGAAGAAGGAGAAATATCTTTTCAACGCGTCTAGTCTGGAGGTGTTACAAGAGATTGCTTTGCAATTCGATAGTTAGATTAGTTAAGCACTTCCCTCGCATCTTTTGAATCAGTGCGAGGGTGGTCTAAGAGGATTAAAAAATTGAAAAGAACTGAATGAATGGAAAGGAGGGCCCAGTAACCTGGTAGAACTTAAACCTATCTATGCCCAATAAGTATCTCCTTGGAGTGTCTGATACGGTTGCCCCATAGTTCATGCTCAATGGATCGCTGGACAAAATGCGAATTTAAGCATGGAGATCTATATTTTCTCCTAAAAATTTCACGTAGTGTATATTGCACGGTTTGTACCTCGAACATTAATGAAAATAACTCTTAATATACATAACATACATGTCGATGGCTTTAGTGCGA